GACCCGGTGGCTTAAAACTCACGCCGGGCGCGTGTGCGTGCGTGCCCAAGATCCTGAGAGGAGAATGGAGGAGAAGGGATTGCGGCGTGACCATCCCCCCTGGGGGGTGATTTCTCGCTTTCTGTCTCTATGTCTCTCTCTGTCTGTCTGGCGAGCGCACGCGCCCTACAGTGAAAATCTCTCCAAAAAAAAGAAAAGGCAAATATTTTATTTCAGAGGTTTAAAGAGCACTTTGGGGATAATTAATATTTCTGAGGGCAGTGCCTTTAACTTGAGGTTTGAACTGTGTCGATTCAGGCTTGATATGCTCATTTTTGTTGATCATTCATGACCACAAGCTGGGGCCCAGGCATTGATAATCTGCAGAACTACATGACCTCAAAGAAACGCAGACCTTGGGAAACTGGTGCCAGCAGAGGGAAAAGTAGCTTAGGTCAAAGCAAAATTGCTACCAACTGACAAAGATGTAAAAGACTTATCAAATTGCTTGGGCTTTGCTCTTTTTCTATTTTTTACATAAATTACACTTTTAATTACATTTACATTTTTTAATTTACATTTTATCATTGTACATCTTTACAGTGTACAACATGGTGCTTTTCTTCCTTAAGGACAATATTCAAATTGTTTGGAGGGAATTTTAGGGAATTATGCTCATGTGCCCACACAACAGCAGAAGTAGAAGAATAGGATGGGCTGTTTTTTTTTCTTTGAAGTGCGACAGTGTAGAATGGCAGAAGCCGAAGCCATAGAAATGATCCTCAGCTCACCGAAAAAAGTGGACACCAATGTCAGGTTTGCAGAGATAAGACTGCACTGTTTTGCAACAAGCCTCGTTTGTGGGCATCAGTACTTCCATTCTGATTGTCAGGGCTTCATTACCAATTTTGTAAAAGGAGCCTGTGAAAGTGGTCCATTTAAAAATTATCCTCCAGGGGCTTGCAGGTGGCATGGTAGTTAAGACACTGGACTCCCACATGGTCATCTGCGATTGGAGTCCCAGACCTGGAGGCTTGCATTTGCACTTTCCCTTTCTCTCTCTCTCTGTCTCTTACTGATAAAATTAATATAAAAGAGTGAATGTGTACGGTATCCTTAATATGTGGCCAAGAGTGAAGTAGATGCTCAGTAAATGGTAATGTGGTTATATTACCATTGCACCTCTCATGGGAAATAGCAGGTGCTCAACAAATATTTGCTGAAAATAAGAAGTCAAAAGTAGACTATATAAAACAATAAAAATGAGAATTTAATCCCAGGGATAAAATTAGCTTCAGGAAATAAGCAGCTGTGGCTTTAAGATGCTAGACCATCTAATGAAGACTGTGGTTTTGAAAAAGTGAGGTAAGAATCCATTTTTGGTGCAAAGATTTCCATCTATTGAGTGCAAAAGGAATTTACTGGTAGAGACTCATTAGTTTTGAGAGAGACTAAGTACAATGGGAAGAATTATGGGCTATCAACTAATTTTAAGAAAGATTCTGTTTCCTGGCTCACTTCTTTTTGAAAAGGTAACATAAAAACTGCAATTACAGCCAAAACCCAGATGCCAGACTGATCTATCCTTGATGTTCCTACTTCTTCCCAACAAAAGCATTACAGAAAAGAATGACGACAAGGTGAAGTGATTGTAGCATTTCTGTCCCGCTTCAATAGAGGTGGGGTCCAGCTTTGTACCTCACAGTTCAAGTCTTACCCAGAAGAAACCACGAGATGTTAGAGAACAAAACTGACTCTGAGATGAGAACACTCTGGTCTCTGAGTTCTGCCAGTTGGAACCTAAAGGAGCATGATGTTGGTTTCCTTAACTGGCTTGTCCCAATTCTTCTTACCTAATTCTTTGGTATTTATCATATTCTACTCTTCTTTCGGATACAACCTGTTACCTATTTGATTTACAATACTAACTAGCACCCTATTATTGAACTAAACTCCTTTCAGTGTGTCTGCTTAGGACTGAAATGAATGTCTGATGGAATCTGTAGCAAAAATCTCTGCTTAAAGTCACTACAGAGTAAACTTACATTCCAGAAATCATCTCTTCCTCCTTCCCTTCCTTCCTTCCCTTTTCCCTTCCTCCCTTGGTCCCTCTCATTCTCCTCCTTCTCTTTTCCCTCCTCTGTCTTTTCTCAACCCCTGGTTTTTTTTTTTTTTTTTTTTTTTTTTTTTTTTTTTTTTTTTAACATAAACCCCTCATAATAACATTCCAACTTCTAGGATCCCAGTATAAACCAACAGAGTTAGCAAATGAATATCTCTAACGGTGGTTCTCAATAAAGGATAATTTTGACCCACACTCTCCTGGACAAATGTCTGGAAAATTTTTGGTTGTCGCAACCTGAATTGGGAGGAAGGGGGTGTTATTAGTATCTAAGTAGATACAGGCTAGAGATGCCAATACGTACTCTACAATTCCCAGGACATCCTCTTACAACAGAGACCCATTTAGTTCCAAATGTCAATAGTGTTGAGGTGAGAAAGCCTGCTCTCCATATGTCTATTCTTCCAGGCAGCCCTGGAGCACCACTGAGCACTGTGTTCTGGAGGTGCCAAGCTATTGCCTGACAGCTACAGATGCACTAGTAATGTGCCCTTGGAAAAGTTCAATCTGCTGGTGTAACAGCTGTACACAGCATTCTTTTCAACAATGCTTTGGAATGTAATTTAACCAAATAAACACGTGATCTTTGCAAGACATATTGCTCCCTAGGAGATAATTATCCTCACTCACAGCTTGCCACAGGTTCCATAGCATAACCACAGAAATATCTAATGGATTTCCTATATTTATCCTGTGAACAAAATCATATAGTCCTCCTTTATCATTGAGCATTGGATTACTATTAGACCTCAACAAAGACAGATGCAAAGCGTTACCTGGGTGGACAATCCTTTTCACGGCACTTCTTTTGTCTGCCGTTGGGCTGAGTTTCTGGGTCACAGAATGTAGCTTTCACCATCCCATGGCCCTTCTTCATGCAGTGGGCAGTCTGACGGCGGATACCTGGGGGTTAGACAGAAAGATTCACATATATGAAACCCTGAGCTCAAGGAATCAGAATCAAGTGAGGCCCCTGATCATGTCAAGTAATTATGCTTATAGCTGATGGGAAAGCTGTCTGGAAGTTATCTGATTCTAAAGTAATACTCATGCTATACACCTCTATGTTGCAGCTGACCAATGGGTGGAAACCATCTTGCTTAGGAAGGACTGCAGATAATAGAGGCAAAGTAATTATAATCTATTATACACGTTTCAATACAGCCTCAGAGACAAGACTAACACACATATGTCATGTGGAAACAAAGTGAGATTTAAATAATGAAAGTAGATGTCATCACTAGGTATTACAAGGCAATTACTACAGTAAGTTTAAGAAAAGAATAGCAAAGGAGAGATCTTTATATTATTGGCTTAGTAAACTCTGAAAGACAAGAATAAAATTCAAAATAATATTGCAAAGTTTGAGATGTTGCAGGGTTTTGATAGTAGAATCTCTGTGGCCATTGGAGATTGGGTAGATCATGTACATAAGCGAAGCACATGGGAGTGGCAGGGTCTATAAGCAAACAAAGCCTTCCATGTCCAAGGCATTGTTCTAAGCTATATGTGTGTGCATTCACACTAGGTTCAGTAAATATAATATCTGCTTCATAGATATTTATTTCCAATGAACACAAGCAAATTGATAAGTAAATTCAGAACAGTTAAACAATCTTCAGAAACTTTGCAGGTATGGTCTTTGGAGTTTTCAATGCTTGTTTCTTCTTATTAGAACATGAAATTCCTTGAATGAAGAAGCAATAACTAGTGAAAACGTAGCCAAGTGGAGTAGAGAAAAACTTTAAATCTATGGTAGGGTGGGTGAACGTGATCTTACTTTATGCAGGTCAAGGTTGTACTTACAGACCTGAAAATACAGAATTGAGGAGAGCAGGAGTACAAAATTGTCAAAGGTCAGATTCAGAAGTGATGAGCCATTTGCTAACCATAGTGCCATTATTATGAATTTTATGGGACACAAGGAAACTTTGGTTAGAATTTATTAAACTGCCAGGACTCTACAGTACTATGGGTACAATGAAGTAAAAATGTGGCTTTCACATTTCTATGAAAGTGATCCCATTTTGTTGTTGTTGTTTAATAAGGAGTCCTGAAGTTTCTTATTGATATCAGCATCTGTGTCAGCCATTTCAGAAGATGTTTCTTCACAGAAAATCCATTGGTTGAAGATTCACTGGTGATCTTTTGAAGGGAGACTCAGGTAAATTTCAGCAAACCTTCTAAAATGGAAGGTAGACTTGCTATTATATTCCCTTCCAGATATTCTGAAGGGTAGCTAGTCCTAACTTTTCTTAAAGTCTTAGGATTATTCCCTATGGGTAAGGCAGAAATGAAAACAAATGTGACCGAAAGAACAGAATAGAAACTGGCATAGTGAATGAACTGTGGCTGGTGTTCGGAAAGTGTCTTTTTACCTCTGAGTAGTGCATTGTGGAAAATAAGCGGACTTTCATGCTGGTCAGCTAAATTTATGTGTCTTACCACTTTGTCTTATAGATCTCTGATATGAAGAAAAGATGGTCAAAGTTTTACATATTTTAAAAAAGAAAACAGCATCTTAGTGAACTAATACTCAAATAGCCTTTCACTCCAAATATGCAATAGTAATATATAAAATATAAACATGTTGAAAATATTAGATTAAAGATATCTATATCTATATAGATATAGATAGATGATAGATAGATAGATAGATAAAGAGGAAAATGAAAAATACCATGCTCAAACGCAAATGTAGGTAAATATCCTGCACAGCTTAATTAAAGAGCAGGGCTTAATTAAAGGTGGGTAGAAGTAGTTAGTGTGGCCATGTGTTCAGCTTCAGTGAGTTAGAGGACTTAAAGTCTCTACATGAAATGGAGATAAGACCAACTTCATCAAAAACTGCTCAAAGGGGCCAGCAGAGGGTGTAATGGTTAAAAAGTTGGACTCCCTGATGACTGGTTTGAATTCTGGACCTGGTGGCTTGAAACTCATGCTGGATGCAAGTGCTTGTGTGCCCAAAATCCTAAGAGTAGAATGGAGCAGAAGGGATTGCAGCGTGGCCATGTCCTTTGGGATGATTTCTCACTTTCTCTCTTTCTGTCTCTCTAGTGAGCACAGATGCCTAATAGCAAAAATCTCTTTCTAAAAAAATAAAAAAATAAAAAAAGACAGCTTAAAGTGTTAAACTCTTGATGAGTATTAGAACTTGAGAGATGACAAGAATTTAGTTTTTCAGTTCAGTAGTTTTTTGAGCTACTTGCTGGTTTGCTAATTATGCCTAGCATGTCTTAAATGTCACTATAAAACAGCAATTCTGAACAAAATTATGTCTTACAGTGTGGTCAGGCACAATTGCAAATTATTAGAAAAGATGGAGTGTACACAAGAAGAAAAGAGGAAAGGGACAGGAAGGACACAAAATAAAAAGAAATGAAAGGGAAATCATACTCAAATTAAGCCTACAAGTGATAGCCCCAAAATACATAAAGAAGTCTAATGCTAAAAAAAAAGGTAATAATTGGTGTAGGAATTCACTCTGTGTAAAATAAATTTTATAGAGCAGTCTGACAAAAACTTTAAAGTAAGCATGTTACTACTTTTGGGTGTTCTTAGGCCAGCTGTGTTAAGTAGGAAATATAATTTGTCACATTCATGATGAACACTGAGATACAGAGAAGTTACCTAAGGTTATACAGTTAATAAATGATTAATCTGGGATTTGAATCTCATGGTTTGGTTCCAGAGGCTACTATTTTAATATTCATGATGTACTACTAGAACTATGTATTACTTACGAGTGAGGAAGAGGGACATTAGGCTAGTCAAGTTTTTATGTAATTGCAGGAGACAATTAATTACCTGAATTTTTTTCCTAAGGTTTTTGTCATAGGGCATGTGGACTCATGAGAGAGAGAGAGAGAGAGAGAGGGAGAGGCAGACACACAGACAGAGACAGAGAGGGAAAGTGAGAAAACATCGCCCAGATGAGATGGCCACATCACCTTCTTTTCCATTCTGTTGGGATTTGGGGCATGCACACACACATGCCTGATGTGTGATTTTTTTCAAGCCCCCTGGGCCTAGGACTCAAACAATGCTTGACCATATGGGAGTCTAGCACCTTAACCACCATGCCATCTGCTGGCACTCCGAAGGCATTTTTAAGAGAAGATGAAAGAAAGAATAATATAAATGGAATAAAAAAAATTGAAGTGGTAAGAATGAGTACCTTTTGACTCGTATGATCAAAGAAAAGCATACAGAAACTCTGAGAATGAACTTCCCTTATACATAATCTACCCCATAGCCATGCTAAGCACTTAACCTGTGGGTAATATGCCTTTTAATACATGTAAGAGTCCTATGTGAGGACAGGAGCATAAAGGGTAGACTCTTCCCCACTAACCGAAGTGAGACTGACTACAACTTGGGAGAAGTTTCTTGGGAAGCAAGGACACCCATAGACACAACCCGTATTTGTTCAAACCTTGAATTACCTGAATTACCTTGAGCTAGTAGTTTATGTGATGTTTGAGAAATGTTAAGTGTTGCTATTTCTCTGGAACATTTCCGTGAAAATTTGTTTCTCTGGAAAATTTGAAACATTCCATGGCACCCTCATAAGTTCAATATGTTCAGACTGTATGACCTAGGAACTTTTACTTCTCATAATTTTACCTTTTTTTTGGGGGGTGGGGTGGGGAGAGATTTTTGCCATAGGGTGCATGCACTCATTGGAGAGACAGAGAGACAGAAAGCAACAAATCACCCCCTGGGGGGAGAGCCATGCCTCAATCCCTTCTTCTCCATTTTCTTGGAATTTGAGCATATACACATACGCGCCTGGCATGAGTTTAAGCCGCTAGGTTCGGGACTCGAACTGTGGTCAACTATGTGGGAGTTCAGCAAAGTAACCATTATACTATCTGCTTGTCTCCTGGTAATTTTACTTCTACATACGTATTACAGAAACTCAGTATTGAAGTAGTAAGGCAATAAGGTATTCATTATAGCACTGCAGAAATGTTTACAAGTGCAAAATAAATTATATAAATAAATAATAGTGTATTCAGACAATGGAATAATACTCATCACTTAAAATGAATGTATCAGAACTACTTTTATCAGTGTGAATTTATCTTAAAAGTATAGCATCAAGTAAAAAAAATTACAAGATTTAGAATGATATTTTGAGTATGATACTATTTATAGAAAGCTTAAATGCCCAAGAAACACTGCTATACAATATATGTGACTAAACACATGTATTGTAAAAGTTTATTTCAACATACAGAAGAATAATAAATACTGATTTCATGATCCTAATTAACTCAGGAGGGAAAAGCGGAGGGAACTGGAGCAGGAGTATACTCACCATCTGCATCTGTGGGATTGGGAGGAAACTGGAACTGGAGTATACTCACCATCTGCATCTGTGGGATTTTATTTTCTTTAAAAATGAAGATTGAAGCAAACAAAAATGTGATGAGGTTGAGAGGTTGGTACATAGAAGTTTGTCATTATAGTCTCTATTTTGCTGGCATGCTTGAAAGAAGTGAGTGTACAACTGAAATATATTTTGACATTTAAAAATATAAAATGGGGACCAGTTGATGGCGTAATGGTTACCACTAAACTCCCGCATAGTCAATCACGGTTCGAGTCCCAGAACTGGAGGCTTAAAACTCACACTGGACGCTTGTATATGTGTGCCCAAAATCCCAAAAGGAGACTGGAGAAGAAGGGATTGCGTATCGCCATCCCCCTGGGGTGGTGGTGGTGATTTCTCTCTGTCTCTCCAGTAAGCACATGCACCCTATAGCAAAAATCTCTTTAAAAATAGTAAAATTTAATAAAATAAATAAATAAATAAAATGGTCCAGCTGTAGTGATGTAGAAAGGAGGGTTTCTCTGCATTGGTGGCTGGGGTCACATGAGAAACAGTTTCAGTTCCAGCCCACTCTGAACAAGCTGGGTGTGGTTGCATGCACCTGTGGTTCTAAGTGACTGGAAACCCAGCGCAGGAAGGATTGTAACATGGCAAGATGCCATCAAAAACTCTCTTTCTCCATCCTGCATACTCTCTCTTACACATGGGAAAAAAAAAAAGTGAAACTAAGTAAAATAAAATAATTATTTCCATCTGTTTGTAACCTGTTTACTATGGAAACAAATTTGGTAATGAGTTTCTTAATATGATATAATAATTATGTTCTTTGAAACTTAGAAATTCCACCTAGAAATTAAAACTAAGATTACTTTTTGCATGAATCTAAGAAGCTCATTGGAAGAATAGCAATAAGTAATAGGTTAAGAAAATTTTGCTCTTTCTTTTCAGCAATATATATTGCATCCATAAAAACGACAACTATAAAGATTATGTAGCACATGAAAAAATAGCTCGCCATAATGCTAAGTGAAAACATACGTGTCTATGTACATATGTACATGTACATGTGCCCAACTATATATATGATCAGAAAAAAATCATTGCGAGGTAATGAAGCAAAGTACATATGTTAGGGGAGTAATTTTATTTTTCATTGATATGTTTAACTTACTTTTTTAAAGAGATTTTTGCTATAAGGCACTATGTGCACTCGCCAGAGAGACAGAGGTGAGAAATCACCCTCCAAGGGGAATGGCCATGCCTCAATCCTTTCTCCTTCATCTCCTCTCAGGATTTTGGGTTCACATGGATACATGCCTGGTATGAGTTTTAAGTCACTGGGTCCAGGACTTGAACTGACGTCAACTTCATGGGCATCCAGTGACATAACCATTATGCCACCTGGTGGCCCCAGTTATTTACTTACTTTTTTTTTTTTTTTAGAGGTTTTCGCTATAGGGCATGTGCGCTCGCCAGACAGACAGAGACAGAGAGACAGAAAGCAAGAAATCACCCCCCAGGAGGGATGGCCACACCACAATCCCCTCTCCTCCATTCTCCTCCGACTTCATGGGCATCCAGTGACATAACCATTATGCCACCTGGTGGCCCCAGTTATTTACTTACTTTTTTTTTTATTTTAGAGGTTTTCGCTATAGGGCATGTGCGCTCGCCAGACAGACAGAGACAGAGAGACAGAAAGCAAGAAATCACCCCCCAGGAGGGATGGCCACACCACAATCCCCTCTCCTCCATTCTCCTCTCGGGATCATGGGCACACACGCATATGTGCCTGGTGTAAGTTAAAGTCACCGGGTCCAGAACTCAAACCGCGGTCGACTACGTGGGAGTCCAGTGACATAGCCATTACGCTACTGCTGGTCCCAAGTAATTTACTTCCTTTTAATAACCTAAACAAAATAAAAGTTTGTCCCTAAATAATTCTGTGTTTCAGGAATTCTTCCATACTTATACTTATCAATGTGTGTCTTGGGTAAATAGTATTTCAGCCTACATGTTGGAGAGTATTAATGTAGATATGCTGTCTTTTTTCTCTCCAAAGGTAGAGAGTTTACTGTTGCTCATGTAGCTGCTGTGGCTGAGATTCAGGTGAGCATCTGAGCACTATGGTAGTTCTCATCAGGGATTAATAATCAGAATGGCATTTATCAAGGCAGGTGGAGATGCTGCTGAAGAAGCTAGCTATAACAAAGCCAGGTGTCTGACTCACATCTGGTAAAGATGCTCAATTTCCTAGCTAGCTTCAGATGTATTGTTATGATCACTGCACAGATCAGCCACTTGTCTCTTCATTCCTGATGCTCTGGAATATTGTATGTGTAATGCAAAGAGTTCATCCTATCTTGAAATAGAAGTGGGTAGAGGATGTTCTCCTCTTTTCTGAGGAGTCCTCTCCCAGTCAGCACTGGCTAAGTTTCTTTCAATCTGTGGTAGGACAAAGATTTACATTGAATCTCAAGGGGATACACAAATGGAAAATGATCTGTTGATGATACTGTGTATGATAGTATCTTTAACTGGACTAATACACAGTGTATTCAGGCTAGGAAAATTCATGTTGCAAACCTTAACGATATTCAGTGATTGAATGTATAAAATGCAAGCCCAGCAGCTTTGGCACTCTGAAAACTCTGCAGTGAGCATCACAAGATGAACTTTCCTACTGACACATCTTTTGGCTGCTGCCGCAGGTTGCACCTTTGACCTAGATGAATTTCCAGAGGTTTTGTATTTTCAAAACATCCTACATTTTATTTTTAAGAATTTTTTTTAAGTTTAATATCCATATGTAATTAAGTCTGGCAAAATACAGAGATCACTAAAACACATTTTAATTGAATGAGTTTTATAACACTATACAAATCTTCCAAGTGATCATAAATCATAAATCAGTTCTCATTACAGGTACTTAAAGCAATTTTTTAAAAATCACACAATTACGCTTTTAAGATTACAGTGTTTAATGTTTGTCAAGTTAAATTTCTACACCTAGCAGGATAATAGCTGAGTTTCTTGGACTCGAACCATAAACATTTCTTTTTATTTTTTCTAATAACTAATCTTGATTTTGCATGCTGAAGTGAGAAAGAAGTGAATAGTGTAAATAATGCTTGTAAGGCTGATGGTGTGTGACTCAACTTCTGGTCTTCTTTGCACAACTACCTCTTGAGGGTGGGGAGACAAGTAAGCAAGTGGTGCAGAAACCACATATGCGGAAGGAAGCTGCAGAGGACTAGACTCTGGACTTCTGGCCCACTCACACTTTCACTTTGCTCTTCGCTTTTAGCCCTGATTCTGGCTCTTCACTTTGTAGCTGCCTTAGTTTTACAAAGACTAGTTTTGGCTTAAAGGTAAGAAAATACAGGACAGACTCAGACATGATTGAAAAGGAGATATGGAGGCAGAGACTTTCAAGCATGGCATTATTATTAAATATCCCTAAACAAGTAAAAGAGTCCCAAGTACCCAACAGGCCCTGACCTATGCCTTCTTAGGTCTTGGGGAAGTTTATCTAGCACTGTGGTGACAGCCTTTGCTAACCAAATGTTCTATATACTTCCATATTTTCCAAACTCACTTTATAGTCAGATTATGTCCATGTGACTAAGACCAACCAATGAGGTGTGAGAGAAGTACCTCACCCTTTGAACCATTCCCCTGGACATTCACTTCCTACCTCTGGGCTGTCTCTGTGGAGCCCTGCAGAACCATGAGTATAAAGTGCAAACCTCTATGGTATGCTCTGCAGCTACCATGGGCTTGCAGTGAGAGCAGCTGTTTCTTACCTGTTCCACACGTCACACTACACTCTGTCCAGTGGCCATACTGCCAGAAATACACCAGCTGCTCCACATCATTGTCAAAGCTGTCTTTCCTGATAGTGTATTCATACTTTATGCCTGGGTTAGTCACCTGGAATAGGAGCTAAAAGATAAAAGACCAGTCATGTCAAATAACATTATATTGCAACCACAGTCAGAAAAAACACCACACAGTGCCTATCATCTAAAAGTAATTACTGGCACATACATTGGAAAAAATGTCATTAAATGGATCTATGTCTATATGTATGTATGCCTGTGGATATGTGCATGTATATGTCTAAATCTATGTCTACATCTATTTGACTATGTCTATATGTATGTATGCCTGTGGGTATGTGGATGTATATGTCTAAATCTATGTCTACATCTATGATTTTAACTATGATGATGTCTAAAATCTACGTCTAGTCTATACCTATGTCTGTCTATAACTGTTTACGAATAAGTCTATATCAATGACTGTTTACGTCTGTTAAAATCTGTAAGTCTATGTCTGTGCATGTCTAAAATTTATGTCTATGTTTATTCCTGTCTCTGTCTCTGCCTAAGCCTATATAACATATATGTGTCTAAAATCTATGACTGTTTATGTCTCTGTCTCTGTCTATGTCTAAGTTCATTTCTACATCTATGTCTATGTTTGACTGTGCCTACGTCTACATCTATGACCATGTCTATATGTCTACATCTGCTTCTATGACTATGTCTATGACTATCCATGTCCATGTCTACGACTATATCCATGTCTATATCTATGACTGTATCTATGAATATATCTATATCTGTGACGATGTCTGCATCTACATCTACATCAATGACTATGTCTATATGTCTATGTCTGCATCTATATTTTTGACTATGTCTATGTATATGACTATGCCCACATCCATGTCTATGGCTACATCTATGTCGACATCTATGTCTCTGTCTACAACTATGACTATGTGTATATATGTCTATGTCTACATCTACATCAATGACTATATCCACAACCACGTCTATGACTATGTCCATGTCTATGTCTGTGAATATGTCTATGTCTACAATGATGTCTATATCTACATCCATGTCTATGACTATGTCGAGATGTCTATGTCTACCTCTATGTCAATGTTTCACAAACTCAAACCCTTTGCCTGAGGACAACTACATAATAACATGTTAGTTAATCAACACTGCTGGAAAAATACTTGGAAACTCATGCTACACTGACAATGGGCCGAGAACATCCTCTACATACCTGAATAACAACTACTTTCTAATAAATTAGTCTAAAAACTGAACTCAAACCTCCCAATGGGTGGTTTTAGAGCCTTGAGCCTTTTATTAGGATGGCCTCAGCAATTTCTAGGTAGTAAAGGATTAATAGTACAAATGAATATCTTACCCCTTCCTGCTCCTCGCTGAAATAAGTTTTAAGGATTCTCACTTAATGTCCTTTAGCTAATACCTTGGGGAAAAAATTAGGGAAGGGAAATCCTAACTTGCATACATGTCGGCAGTCTCCTTTCCTTCCTTACCTGGATCCACACTGACTCATTGGTGGGACCTGCTGCCATCAGTTTTTCCAGGTCTCCTTTTCTGTCATACTGAAATACGGTTCCTGCCAGCTTATAGTTCCCATTCCACTGGATAATAAATCCTCCATTTAGGTAATATTTTTCAGGGTCTTCACTCCTGATGGCCAAGAAGTTTCCAGCTCCCTCAATTTCCATTACTCTTATGTCCCTTGCTCCTTTTGGAATGAGCCCAATGTCAACATAACCTAAGAGAGAAGACACATAAGTAAAAGAGACACATTAGCTTCTCAGCTGGGTAATATGTTTCCAAACCCATTGTCCTCCTCTTCCCAACATCCCTGTCACTTAGTGCCCTTGCTGGGTGATCTCCAGGACTGGGGAAGTGCTAAATATGGGGGATATTTTAAGTTTGTTTATTTATTTCATGAGAGAAAGAGAGAGAGGGACAGAGTAAAAGAGAGAG